GCACACGAACAGTCTCACACACACAGGCAGGTAATTTAATTACTTCAGTCTTAGAAACCCTTGGGAACATGCTCCAAATGTTTTCTTGAGGGTTTTCTGGCTTTCTCTTCTCCCCTGTGATGGAGGAGTTGGCAGAACTCCAGTCAACCTTTCTGCTTTGGCCTCAATATGGGACGTCTGTTTTACCTACACACTCAAAAACCTTCACCTCATGTAGACACTCAGTACCTGCTCCTTAGATCTGTGTGATTAACTACTGTCTTTACGGAAGGAATAAAGTAGATTTAAATTACAGTCTAAGAATCTTGTGTCTCTGTAAGTCGTCTTATTTATGTTAAAGGGATAGTCCACCCAAAAATGAAAAGTCTGTCATCATTTACTCGCCTCGTGTCTTTCCAAAACCATACTGCTTTTCTTCTGTGGAATTCAAAAGAAGATAGTCTAAATAGTGTTTCAACTGTTTATTCATACAAAGTAAGTCAATGGGGTCCAAAACAACATTGAACCCCACTAATTTTTGTGTTTATTATAAGCGCTCGCTGCAGTTCTTTCTCATAGAATTCGAAAGATTATTAAAACTGTATAGTTTTAGTTATAGTTATCATCTTTGGTGTGAACTGCACTTTAACCATTTGTAGGTTGATTCCTAAAACAGTGCATGTACTTAACAGTGTGCACATTTTAAATGGGCATGATATAATACTGTTAGCTTTAGTGTGTTTAGTCCTTTCCCTCGTAGTGCACTACATCTCGTTGTTTTTGCACTACTCACACTAATCATACAAAATGGCATTCAGTAGTGCAGAAGTATGTGAAATGGGACGTACCCTGTCTCGCTTAACATTGCTCTGTTTGTTTGCTCAACCAATAGCGTGCATTTGGGGCGGGGATATCTGTTTGTCTGACCAATGACAGATTGGGAGTGTTTTGGAAACCTGTTTGAAAACAATCAATATTTTTGCAGTTCTTTTTCTGTTCAGAAATCTGTTTTCTAAATACATGTTATCGATCTTTCTGTGCACAATTTACATTTAATTTCTTCTTCTTTTCCTAATTCTTTCATCAAAATGTCAATCTTCCAGGGAAATGGCGTATTTCCTTCTGGTGGCGTATGTTGGACCTCTCCAATCATCTATTCTGCTTAAACCCCGCCCCTCACTTACAGTTGGCTGCAAGCTCGCATTGAGATATGCCTCCATCCAATTAACAAACGGTGGATGGAGCCATGTTCCTGATATACATTTTTTTTCTTTTTCGATAATCCGCTTTGTCACACTACTGATCAAAAAATATCACTCCCTCAGTTACATCGTAACTTTAGAAATGACTCTGGTAAACATACAGCAGAAACCTATGTTACATCACCCACATCAGCCTGTCGGTTAGTTGTGACGGATAGGGTACTAGTAGAGGAAATCGTAACCTCCCAGCAGGTCTTGACGCATCGTGTCTGTTCAGGCACTTTTTTATTCATTTTCACTGACAGCCAATGACTATCTGTTATTGATCCTTTTACAATGTGACTGAAACTCGACTAAGTGTGCGTGTGGGAGACATAATTACTTCTAAATCAGATCTCCTGGAACCTCATTCACACACTCACACAGTTTCTCTCTTGTGTGGCGGCTTATTTATTGAGTGATGCATTAACAGTTCATCCTCATGCATATTTCATAGAGAAGAACACACAGACACATACACAAAGGAACATAAATTGTTGCAACTGTCTAGATTGTAATTTTTAAAACAAGTCAAGCTCTTATTGTCATTGCACGAGTACAATGAAATTATTTTGGTCTTCCACTGTTAGTTGCGTAATATTTAAAATAAAGAAAGAAATGTAAATGTAATTAGAGAAATAAAGATGAAGATGAAAAGTATATAAAAAGAAACAAGCATAGAAGACTCCAAATTAAAAGTATGTAAATATAAATGTATGCAAAGATAGAAATATACAAATTTTTACATGTTACTAGCGTCACAAACGGAATTGCAAAAATACTAGTTGTTTTCAAACTTTCGAAACCACTCCCCCCTTTTTTCATTGGTCAGCCAAGCAATAGTCCTGCTCCTAACTCACTATGATATTGTGTCAGGCTACAAGTTTCTAATATAAAAATGCAAAATTCAGCTATAAACTGAAGTAAAACCAAATTAGAGGGAATCATGTATCTTATATGAAATAAATGTATAAATATTGATACACGTTAAGTCTGATTAAGTCAGAAATTTTGATGACACAAACCTTCTTTCTTTGTTTTTTTGTATTGTATCTCTCTAGTTTCTTTTTATGCATTAATTTTTCTGGTTAATAGGCTAATATCACATGGGCACACTATATTTGTTTTCAAAACATTATGATCACATTGTTAATGGAATTTCTAGAGTACAAATGAAGCACATTTTGCTACTTTCGCAAGATTGGGTTAAGATACGACACGCATTACATGCATATGGAATTGAATTACTGTGTACTATTTAATATTGCATCATTAATCTGTTGTTTCTCTCTCTCTCTTTTTTTTCTTCTTCCACCCTTTTGTGAATGCAGAAGTGGAACAGAGAGGTAGGTCCATTACTTTAATGTAATTTAAGTGTGTAATTCACTGTCAGGCTGTTACGGTGTTATTTGATACTAATGACAGATTGGCGATCAGTAGCTCTTAATGGTTTATATTAGGAATGTGGAGGAGAAACTTGATCTCAGACCAAGGCTGTACTCCCTGAATTAGACCTCTATTTCTCACTGTCTCCTGTCTCTTGATCTCTCTCATTGTATCTGGTGGCTTACCATGTATCAGATGAACAGTGAGGTGTTGCCGCTGTTTAAAACTTAAGCTGCCGATTGTGCTGACCACAAGACGTGGCAGTGGGAAACAGATGTCTTGCGATTTTAAAGGGATAGTTCACTCAAAAATGAAAATTCTGTCATTAATTACTCACCCTCATGTTGTTCCAAACACGTAAGACCTTCATTCATCTTTAGAACACAAATTAGGATATTTTTGATGAAATCTGAGAGCTTTCTGACCCTGCATAGAGAGCAACGCAACGTTCAAGGCCCAGAAAAGTAGTAAGGACATCGTTAAAATAGTCCATGTGACAGCAGTGGTTCACGCGTAATGTTATGAAGCTATAAGAATACTTTTTGTGTGCAATGAAAACAAACGTAACAACTTTATTGAACAATTTCTTCTCTTCCGTGTCAGTCTTCGACACGCGTTCACGAGAGTACCATGACGCATGGCCTTGAACGTTTCAGTTGCATTGCTGTCTATGCAGGGTCAGGAAGCTCTCGGATTTCATCAAAAATATCTTAATTTGTGTTCCTGAAGATGAACGTCTTACGTGTTTGGAATGACATGAGGGCGAGTAATTAATGACAGAATTTTCATTTTTGGGTGAACTATCCCTTTAAGCCAATCTTAAAAGGCCTGGGGTGAATCTAGACTGTCGGACCTTAACATAATAACTTTGCAAAGCTAGAGATGATGCATTAACAGTTATCACATTCATCAAATGGCGAGAACACTCAAATTAAGTGAATTGGTATTTTAAAATGGAGCATTTTATGTCAGGTCTCCTTGATTTGGAACAGAATGACATGCATATTACAAAGCACATTTTAAATTGACAATAACAGAAAAAACTGTAATTTTACTGTGTACTTAGGAGCCGCTCAAGGTTTTTTTCCAATACCTTTTTGCCTTGACACATTCACCGCTGGCTTCTTGATTGTAATGTTTGAAACTTTTTCTGTAAAGCTGCTTTGCAAACATATGCATTGTACAAATGAACACAAGTTGAATTGAATGCTTGAATATGAATTTAGAAAAAAAAATAGTAAGCTACCAAAACATTTGACAGTCACAAGTAATAAAAAAATAAAAAATAATTAAATGCAAATACACTTGAGTTTATCAAAGGTCAAGAGAAGTTCCTGGATTGGGACATATTGTGGGAAATTAATGCATCTAAAACAATAAAAGGAAACAGTCATTCAGTAATAGTTAAAATACCAGCCACACTTCCCATGAGGATGTCCCTCATTCTGGGAACGGAATGGTGGGAAAGGGCTGCTACTATGGCAGGCTTTCTGTGTGACTGTTTGTGTGCGACCGTGTAAGTGTATCTGCATGGTTTGCAGGAGTATCATTATAAATCAAAGAGAGTGAAAACATTAGACGTTCACACACACACACACACACACACACACACACACACACACACACACACACAGATCTACTTTGAAGAACTAAACTGGCAGAGTTGGAAAGCCCTGTCATTTTCACTCACTCGTACAAGTATTCAGGCCAGTGATAAAAGAGACCTTCAGGATTTTCCCCCTGACTTACATTTTCAGAGAATGTTATTGTATAGGTTATCAGAGTCCATTAGTCAGGTTGTTTTTCACTTTGTTTTATTCCTTCTTCACATTGATAGCTGTATTGTATTGCGATTTTAGTCAGCTTGCCAGCTGAATTAATCATTATCTACAGCGTAAACTAACAGTTATCATCTACTGACATCCCTATTAGAGCAGAGCAGGGCAGAGTCTATCTCTTTGCTTTTAACTGGGTCCAAATGGAGCATATTGTATGAGATTTGCTTAATAAATTGCGAATAGATTCTCACATGCTCTGTCAGTTTATTACAGAACAGCTCACACAGCAAGCAAATACTAAATACAGCTAATACACATTTCAGCTCTGAATATTTGCACGTTTCTGAAACCCACACACTGATTCGTAAAAAAATACAGACTTAAAAAAATACAGACATCATCTGCAGGTGTAAATATATGTACTGTAGGTGCTTGTTAATGACACCGCCTGCATGCAACATACTCCACATCAAAGCTTGATTTGTTAGCCACCTAAGCTAAT